TGTTTACATAAATAAACAAAAAGTCAAAATAAAGAAAATGAGTGGATAGTAATATATCAATTCATTGATTCAGAGTGAACATAGTGTGCCACTTGAGGTTAGATGATTGACATCAGTAACATGTACTAATGCTTTATCCACCTTATTACAGTTTCACACAAAAAACTGGGTTTGACTGAGATTTTATGAATATTATAAAACACTTTCCACAGAACAATAAAATGTTCCTTATCTATTACACACTACATATAAAATATAATATTATGTAAAGTAATAGTTAATAACTTGTCCAACAGACTGTTGTAATCATTCCTATGTATGGACCACTTCAGGGCAATCTGAGAACAAAAAATCTGCTTTCTATTAACAAACTGTGGTTGAACATGTACGTATGAAATATCAGTGGTTCCTGTAAATTTCTTAAAGATGAATGCATACGGAATGAGCAGACTATCTCTTAACCTCACCTATTCGTGAAGCAAAAAAAAACCAAATAGCAGTGATATTGAAAATGGATAAAAAAAATGACACATTTTGAAATGTATAAAATTAACCTTTTGTATATAAACTTTTATTTCAAATAAATAACAAATACATCAAATCAGATCAATCAGTTAATAAACACACAATCTAATTCTTCCTCACAGCTTTAAAATTTGTTGCTAATTGACTGATAGATTTTAAGTCATGTAATTTATTTCTAAAATTCATTTAAATTTATACTTGGTATATGTGAAGGTCTGTATTTAATTTGGTGTCAACTACTTGGTTAGTTGTTCTGGTGGGTAAGGGTTAGCCTTGATTGGACAAATGGTCTTCTTTCACTTTTCACATTTTTATTTTTCTTATAAGACAATGTGGCTCTAAGTATCATAAGCTTTAATCAGAAGTTCAGATCTGGAATTTTTCTTAAGAAAAATTAAGAATTCTATACTAGTAAAAACAGTTTATCTGATGCTTTGATCTGTTTTATTAGTTTAAGTATTGTTCAAACTTGTAATAGACAGCTATATGGATGTGAAAGACTACAAGTAGCTGGGTTAGTGATTTCAATTGACTGTTCAAAAAGTGAAAAGCTAAAAATCAATGAACTTTTGGCACCTTACTTATTCCTATATAATTGTTATCAACAATATTCAGATTTTTAAAAAATTTTGAACAAAAATTCATTCATTTACTGGTCATCATTTACATACCACTTTTCATCTTCCCCCTTGGGAAAATTCCCCCATTTTTACTTTAGTGTAAAAAAAAAAGTCACATGTTGTTATTGTCTAGTTTTTACACAAGCTGTTAGCAATATTCATGACTTTGAACATCCTATGGAAAATAACAGAATTGACCTGAATGATTTAATATAAATCCCTTGATGTTAAGAAGAAATACTGGAAGATTAAAAACAAGATCCGACAAGGTTTACAAGGACATAAAATAATTAATTAAGTGAATTTCTCTCCTTCATTTCTGATAGATCAATGACAATGTGCAGTTTCCTGAGAAGTAGAGAGTTACTAATGTTACTCATATTTTTAGGGGGGTGATAAGAGTTGCCCTAAAAACTTATAAACCAGTTAGTCTAACTTCCTTCTGTAGTGGAAAATGTTTTAAATAATCTATTAAAAGATGCTTTACAAAACCATTTTATGAAATGTGATATCATAAAAGAAAGTCAACATGGATTTACTTAAAGAGAAATCTTGCCTTACTGATCTGTTAACTTTTTTTGAGGATGATGGAAAGGATGTGGATTTGGTGTACTTAGATTTTAGAAAAGGTTTTGATAGGGTGCCATACAAAACATTAGCTAAATAGAACAAATTGGTATGGGTTGGGGAAAGAATAGTTAATTGGACTATATGGTGGTTGGATTAGAGAAAACAAAAGGTTGTTATTAATGAAGTCTACCACACTTGATTCTTGTTACTAGTGGAATGCCTCAAGGGACAGTACTTGGGTCTTTTTTATTTACAATTATGATATTTATAGGGGCATAATTAGAAAATTAGTAAGATTTGCTGATAACAATGAACTCTTGGGTATTTCTAGTTGTATTGAGGTTGTTGATGTATCACAGAATAACTTGGATCAATTTATAAGTTGGACAAATATTTGGCACATTAAGTCTGATTACAGTAAGTGCAAGATAATGCATTTGATTATCATAATTTGGATCATATATGAGGGAATCCACTCAATACTGTGACAGAAGAAAAGGGTATTGGCATAGTAGTGGGTATGTCACTAAACCAAGTAGGCCATGCTCCATTGTTGATTATAAAGTTAGAATTTTAGGATGTATTTATAGTCATATTGACCACAAGTAAAAAAATAAAATAAAATAAAAATGTAATTATCTCTCTACAAAAATAATTAGTCGTGCCCTACTTAGAATACTACATACAATTTTGGTCTCCTTATTTAAGAAGGGATACTAATTTATTGAAAAGGGTTCAGAATTATCTTATAGAAATAGGTTAAGATCTTTTATGTTATTTTCT